CTAACAGTCAAAAATAAAATAATGTAGGCTTGTTGATATTTTTATGGCTAACTGAACAGAATAACTTCAGTTAACTAATTACTGTAAACTATTGAGCATCATTTCGTTCAGGCATATCCCGCACCAACAATGATAATAATAATAATAATAGTCATATTTTCAACACTTAACTGAGAACTATTCAAGAAATCCAGGCGAGAGCTTTATCGAAGCCAGGCATGTCGAAAGGTCTGGTAGGAGACAATGAATTTCGGTTGCTTAATATCATAAACTGAATGAATCTAGAGATCTGAACGATCAAACGTCAAATCAACGATTTGTAAGAGACACAATTATCATAAGATCTGAACGTCCTAAGTTCGATTCTCACTGAGATCGCGAGTAAAACTATTGAAGAGTTTCACACAAGGATAGGACAGTTGTCCAGTGTCCCCTGATTTTAAGTGTCTGCATAGTAAATAAACAAGCTTTTATCTAGAAAAGCAGAGACAGATTATGGTTAGCAAGGAGATACAGGATGCACGTTTCATCCTATTACGGACTCGTTGGCTAGGTGTACCTACATCCCAGAGTTGAAATTCACTCAGGGAATCGAACTCAATCCAAATGTTTACCTATTTATAAATAGTTTGAAAGTATTTACATACAATCTACCAACAGCTGAAGAATGGCAATGAGCCATATAAATCATCCTAGTTTGCGGCACCTTTCTGTATCAAATCCATGGTCTTTAAGCTTAACAGTGAGCACAATATTACACAGGGATGTAGTAAGCAGGATATTCAACTTCTATGTTAGTAAGCATTCTCATTGTACCCAATTCTTAAAGTTTTATGTCATAAAACCTAAATTTCTCTTGACGCTTTCTGATAAAATGTGTCACATTTTCAATTGTCTTGTAATGGTAACTGATAGACGAATATTTTCTTTATATCAGGATCAATTCTATGATCTAATTTTAAACAAATTTACTTGATTAGTTCCGTTTTATAAATTACAATTATTCTGTTATTCCGTTTGAATAAAGTAAAAATGTTTAGGGAACTCGAGAAAACATTTTGCTCGACTCAGTAGTCTACAAGGTAAGCTTTCTCATGCGAGTATGAAACTTATGGATTCGATTCCTTGTAATGGGGTTATGGATGCGCATAGTCTATGAGTACCACATCAAGACAAAACAACTGTTTATTTCTCTCAGGTGTTCACTGATTGTCTATCCTGAGTGAATTAGTGATTTCCATTAAAATTTAATAGTTTTCACATACTCCCATACTGTTCATTTATATTTGGTCATGATTTAGAAAAAAATATTAGCTGAATGAATAAACTATATGGAACTGAATATCATCAAGAATAAATATCCCACTTATGAAATTGTGGAGTGTAATGAATCTGACTAACTCATTTTATATATCATAAGCTGACTTAAATCTATCAAAGAACATTGCTTCATCCCAATGTGGGTATTTTTCAGGCAAGCGTACTGATAACTCTAACAAGAATCTAAGTCAGAAACTTTTGAACTTCTGGAGAACGGCAATCATGTTAATACTTTTAAAACGATATAAATTAAATTGTATTTCTTTAAAATCATGAACTGATCTATTTTAAATTTCTAATGGAAATCTAGGAAAACAGGCGGCGGCCATTTTGTTTCGGTTTTTTTATGTATTTTCTACTTTATACAAACTTTGTCAAATGAAAACACACAATTTTTGATTTGATAGTTTATAGGGAAATTCTTTAAAATTTACTAAACAATTATCTAACTAAAATAATAATATCATTGCGGGTTTGTTGTGAAGATTGTTAAGTTTTATTTTTAACCATGAATCGATCAATGTTAGACCATCATTGGAAACCTGGAAGCACTGGAAGGCCGTTTCGTCCTGGTATGGGACTCATCAGCAGTGCGCATCCACGACTCTTGCACCCCGCAGGACCCGAACCCAGGACCTTCGGTACTGTGCACGAACGCCCTAACCGTTAGACCACTGAGCCGGTATCTAACGGTGTTAATGTCTAGCTTGATCAAATCCACGGAGTTGCGCAACCTCATACCCTGTATACACCCGGACAGGTTTGAACTTCACTGGTCACCACTTCCCACTAGAACTCGGAGAAGATTCCTCACCAAGCCAGTCACTAGTGGACAATAGTGGACGAAACGGCTGTCCAGTGCTTCTTGCAGGTTTCTAATGGTGGTCTAACATTGATCGATTCATGGTTACAAATAAAAGAATAATAATAATAATATTTCTAAAATCTTTAAAAATTTGAGTAAGAAACACACGTAAAATTTGCATGAATTTGATTTTTGCAAAGTTTCCTTGACAAAGTAGTAAAACATTTAACACGTTTAGGGGAATCATTCAAAGTTCAATAAATAAGTTCTGATAATTAATTAATTATCTAATGGCTACTCTAATTGAAATAAGATTTTTTTTTAAAAGCAACTCATGAAAATTTATTGGTTGAAGTGATATTAGATGACCTAGTTCTACTGAAATAATTGCATATATCACATCTAGTATAAACAATGAAATCAATGTAACCTATTATAGCTTAATGTGTTTTATATTCAAGTGATAGGAATTTAAAAATAATTCACAGTAATTTTTAATTTTAACTAATGGATATTAAAACTGTCACATTTTTTTTTCAACTTTTAACTAGTACAAGTATTCTACTGTCCGTTTTAGAAGAAAAAAACTTTTTCCGGTGTGCAACTAGCTGTAAAATGCCTTCATAAGCTACTTATTACAAAGTAACGAGATTAATTACAATCAAAGTTAGTTAAATTTATGTATATTAGTTTGTTTGATTAATCTCATTTTGGTGTACGAGCATCGTGGGCGAATTACCTCATTGATATCGCAGTTAGTTTACAAGTATTAATTGGTAGAAGGGGATAGTGACTAGTAGTGAAATCCATTACACCTGTCATATCATATTTGGGATTGTTCAGCTAGATACACACCTACATATCAGAGTGGATGTTCACTCTGAAACTCTAACACAGTACTGTTCGTTTTGAATGTCATTGCGTTATCCACCTAGCTACTGAGCCCAGAAATCCATTTGTATTGGTTGGTTTAATTGTCTCATTCAGTTGCACTGAACATCAACTCTGCGATGCAGGTACATAAAGCGTAAGATGAGTCCTGAATAGGACGAAACACACATCCCGGGTTCCACTACTAGCTACTGTCCGCCTCTGCTGATAGTTAATTAAAATTTAAATACTTTTCTGTCATCATTCTCTCAAATTAGATAATTGTTATGAATATTTAAAAATGACAACCAATCGAATATGTAAAATCAAAGGCAATGTATGCATCAGCATAGACGTCAAATTTTATTAAGATCATGAACTAAACCAAATTAGGCAACTATTGGGAGCATGCAGACATTGAAAATTCGTTTAGTTTTAATATAGAACCACCGATGGTAATAGGCAGAATCTTCGATTTCATATATGTGAACACTTAACTTCTAGAATAGTGAACTTGTTTCAAATAACTCATACATTTAACTTCAGTCAATTACATTCTTTCGTTTGTCATTGTAAAAAATGTCAAAAAGTTAAAATCATACAGAATCTATGATTCATCAGTGTTAAAGAAGAGGAAATATTTACAAAATCAACCAATGAATCTGGATCAAATGTCATTATTAAATGAAGATTTTAATTAAATGATAATTTCTTTTCCGAAATTATTATAATTCTATTTATAACTAAAAGTCGTTATTAAGTAGTAATCCACGTCATGTATACATAAAGCTAAATTGTAGCCAGTAGTCTAAGTGACTCAGCATTGTGTGCATTATGTTAAGTGTTCGGAGGCAGTCAACAGAAAACCTTGTGTTAACCTCGCCTTCATACTATTTAGCATTCGTCAGAAAGGTATACTTGTATTCTTGAGAGAACTGATGCTCCCATATGGGGTTTGAACTCTGGTCGAATAACTCAGTGCTGTCATCTTAGACTGTGAGGCTAAACACACAAGGACCACTAATTTTTTCAAGATTACTGATATACTTTTGCTGTCGAGTACCAAATGACGTAAAACTTAAGTTGAATAGAGTTCTCTCCTGATCAATTCCAACCACTTAACATTAAATCTTTATATCACAGTTTCGGTACATTTATTTCTGTAGATTTTTCAAGGTGTGTAGCAGCTACACTGTTTATTCTTACCTACAATGAGAAAACCTACGCTAACTGTTAACGTGTTTAGATTTAAGTATGTCAGTTGGTTCATTAATCGAATGGCCAAATCATAGCATCTATGAATACGAAAATAAATGACAACAGTTTTAAATTTCATAACAGTGTAATTTAATTTTCCTTATTGTAACATGTACCTAAATAACATGTGATTCAACCGTTTAATAATAAGATAAATGATTTAATTTTTTAATGATTGATAAACACAGAATAAGTAGTGTGGTGCACGCTACTTATAAGTAGTATATAACGCGAGTGTAAACGTAATGCCTGGCAGCACAAGATGGGGGAAGATCAAGAAAGGAAGAAGAGTGGGAACACACTGGAATTCGTATGAAACGCATGAATAGTGAGTGAAATGTCAGACAATGGATTGATGATGGATTGAAGATTTGCAAATGAACGATTTACGATATGGTTTTCCTATTTTACTGAGTAACTCTGTAATTTTCGTTAAATACAATTCGGTTGCTCTCACCTGTGTTCTCCTTCACTACAGTAGAATGTAACAAGCAATACAATCCAGAATGCATGTTCTGATCTGTTTAGGCACTCATTAACTCGATATACTTGTATCTCTTGACTTGAACAGGACAAATCATGTGTGTTAGATTTCAATGACAGAAACAATTCGTCTGTTCTAACTCATTGGATAATTAATGACTATCATCTATGCGTAAACAATTTTACACAGAATCTATAGAACCCTAATTAAGCTGAGTCACAATACACTGAAACTATGAACAATTCTATATTAAAAATTACTTACACCAAGTGAATGATAATATTGATAAGTAGCTATATTATCAAATAAACTGGCTGTGAAATTCTCTTTCAATCGAGAATATGTAATCAATATGCGTATACATTGAAAACTCGATCGATCTTTGGAACATTTATTTTCACATTTAATTGACGATGAAATTAATCGTGATTCAATGTAAGTACAATTCGTTGGTAGAAATCCTGATTCATGACGACATGGTAATATGACTAGATGAATTAATATACATTCAATGATAATACATGTAGTAATAATTGTGGAACATGTTAAATAAATAATTTTTATACATGTTTCATGATATTTATGTTGTCTTCCTCCTCTCCATACTTTATGCTGATGAGGTTGATGAGGATGGTGATGAGGTTGATGGTGATGAGGAGGATGATGGTGAGGATGGTGATGAGGTTGATGATGAGATTGATGATGTGAATCGGTAAGTTTATTGAAAGTTGAATGAGGTTGATGAATTAGTTGACAATGTTGTTGATTATTATTATCAGGTGATTGAGAGCGCGCAAATTTCTCCCCGACTGATTTCTCTTTAGTATTTTTGTTATTTAAAGCCAATTCTTTAACTTCATAAGTGCAATTATGCATTTTTGGCAATCACCATGTTTTTTCCCTGCATCATCTTTCAGTGATATTCTCGTTCATTTCATTTATTTATCTGTCAAGTACTCAATAGGACATGATGATTAGGTGATAAATAAGTTTTCAATTTAGTTTTTAGTTAATAAACTTCAGTAAATGGCCAATAAAAATAACATTTAAACAAGTCAATTCTGATTGGTTCATTCGATATTAATCAAATGTTTTATTATTATTACTGTTATTATTATTATTATTATTATTAGGAAAACACTGTGGAGGCTTCTTCAACACTACGGTGTGCCTGAGAAGATAGTTAACATCATACGGAATTCTTATGATGGATTCACCTGCGAAATCGTGCACGATGGACAGCTGACAGACTCATCAGAGGTGAAGACCGGTGTCAGGTAAGGTTACTTACTCTCACCCTTTCTCTTTCTCCTGGTAATTGACTGGACTATCAAGACGTCAACATACGGAGGGAAGCACGGGATGCAGTGGACAGCTAGGATACAACTGAACAATTTAAACTTCGCAGATGATCTGGTTCTTCTATCGCACACGCAACAACAAATGCAAGAGAAGATGACCAGTGTAGCAGCGGCTTCTGCAGCAGTAGGTCTCAACATACATAAAGGGAAAAGCAAAATTCTCCGATGCAACACAACATGCACCAACCAAATCACTCTTGATGGACACGCTTTGGAGGATGTTAACACCTTTACATATCTTGGCAGCATCATCGACAATCAAGGTGGATCCGATACGCGGATTTGCAAAGCAAGGGCTGCATTTCTACAGTTGAGAAATATCTGGAACTCCAAACAACTTTCAACCAAAACCAAAATCATGATTTTCAATACAAATGTCAAGACAGTTCTACCGTATGGAGCGGAAACTTGGAGAACTACCAAAGCCATCATACAGAAGATACAAGTGTTTATTAACAGCTGTCTACGCAAAATACTTCGTATTCGTTGGCCTGACACCATCAGCAACAACGAACTGTGGGAGAGAACAAGTCAGGTTCCAGTGGAGGAGGAAATCAGGAAGAGGCGGTGGGAGTGGATAGGACACACATTACGAAAAGCACCTGACTGCGTCACGAGACAAGCACTCACATGGAACCCTGAAGGCAAAAGGAAAAGAGGAAGGCCAGGGAACACCTTACGCTGTGAAATAGAGAATGATATTAGAGGAATGAACAAACATTGGACAGAACTGGAGAGGGAAGCCCAGGACAGAGTTGGTTGGAGAAAACTGGTGGGCGGCCTATGCTCCATTGAGGCTAACAGGTGTAATTAAGTAAGCAAGTAATTATTGTTATTATTACTATTATTATTATTATTATCATTATTATTATTATTAGTGCATAATTCAGTAATATTTTTTCTTTCTGACACTGTAATCAGATTAATTGTCATAATAACCGACCTTCAAACTGCTAATAAGTCGTTCGCCTAGGTGTTGACAGAATACACATCATGGTATCAACTGCTAGCCATTATGCAGCTCGTGACTTAATGGCAAAATCATGGCAGTCTACACAGAATTCACATGTACAAATGAAAACTGATTAATTTCCAATCCATAATATCAACAAGTAAATTCCAACAACTGATGCAAGTAAATTGTGCTGAAATTTGCATCGATTAATCTGTTGGTTGGAGTAATATGGTTGCCTTTATAAATGATGCGCTTACTAAATTTACACACAAACGTTTTTTCTTTAACAGGACTTCGGATTAGCAGTAATTTTAGGTGTAGATAACAAATGATTCACAGTGAAATTTAATTGACGAGTGATATTTTGGGAATCTCTAAAATATCAGACAACTTTTTGGTTTGAATTTCAGTACTTGCAAGTAGTACATACGTTACTCAAAACAAATATCAAACCTAAGACTTTTATACCTCATTACACAATCACAAAACAATAAGTTGAAATTCATTAATCTACTATATTTTAAATTCAATCATTTACTTATGTTGCGTAATCAGCTTCCATTGTGTGCAATGAGTAACTGTCTCACATCCGATATTGTAGAACTTCGTTGGTTACAGCTTTTCACTAAAATGTAATAAACTATATCATAAAACTAGACTGTAGTTAGCATATGATTAAAGATGTTATTAAAGACTGTAAGCAGTAAGAATCTATAACCAGTGGAGTTGAACTACGTCAACTTCGAATTAGTTATCTAATGCAGACAATTGAAGATAATCATCCAATAACGTGAACTGATTGAACTTGGGCAAGTATGCTAGCTCAAAGATTCGAAGGTTACACTTTCATAGCGAGACATCAGGACCTTACATTGGATCCGCTGTGCTGGAATTATGGATTTACACTTCTGGGGACACTTAAGTAATAAAAAAAATGATAATCTTAATAATCCTTGTTTTTATTTCATCCAAATAACATCAATTTGTGGTGCAAACTATTACTTACTTACTTACGCCTGTCACCACCAATGCAGCATGGGCCGCCCACCATTATTCTCCGACCTGCTCTGCCCCCGGCTTGCCTTTTCAATTCTGTCCAATTTTTGTTCATTCTTTCTCTATTTCTCAGCGTAATGTGTTTCCTGGCCTTCCTCTCTTCTTTTTACCTTGAGAGTTCTAAGTGAAGGATTGTCTTGCGACGCAGTTCGGTGCTTCCGCAGTGTGTGTCCTATCCACTTCCATCACTTCTTCCTGATTTCCTCCTCAGCTGGAATCTCGTTCGTTCTTTCCCACAGAAGATTGTTGTTTATGGTGTCTGGTCGACGGATCTGCACTATTGTGCGAAGACAACTGTTAATGAATACTTGTATCCTCTGGGTGATTGCTTTTGTGGTTCTACAAGTTTCCGCCTCATACAGTAGAACTGTCTTCACATTTGTATTGAGAATTCTGATTTCGGTGTTTGTTGGCAGTTTTTTTAAGTTCCAGATGTTGTTCAGTTGTCGAAATGCAGCCTTTGCTTTGCCCGATCAGAGTCTTCCCATCTGCATTGGATACACCTGATTGTCGATGATGCTGCCCAGATATATAAAGGTGTTGGTCGGCGCATGTAGTGTTGTATCGCAGAATCTTGTTTTTCCCTTTATGTATGCTGAGACCAGCTGCTGCACAGACTGCTGCTACACTGGTCGTCTTCTCTTGCATTTGTTGTTGTCTGTGCGATAGAAGAGCCAGATCATCTGCGAAGTCTAGATCGTCCAGTTGCATCTTAGCTGTCCACTGAATATCGTGCTTCCCTCCATATGTTGACGTCTTGATAGTCCAGTCGATCACCAGGAGAAAGAGAAACAGTGAGAGTAAGCAACCTTACCTGACGCCGATCTTCACCTCTAATGAATCTTTTAGCTGTTCTACGTGCACGATTTTGCAGTTGAATCCATCATAAGAATTCCTTATGATGTTAACTATTTTCTCAGGCACACCGTAGTGTCGAAGAATTCTCTATACTTTTATCCTGTCCACGCTATCGAGTGCTTTCTCGTAGTCAATGAAGTTGATTTAGAGTGGTGCGTACCGTTCAACTGATTGTCCAACAATGATCTGTAATGTTGCAATTCGGTCAGTACACGATCGATCCTTACGAAATCCAGCCTGTTGATCTCGAAGTCGGGCGTCTACGAAGTCCTTCATTCTGTTTAACAGTACCCTTTTGAAGACTTTGCCTGGTATTGAGAGAAGAGTGATGCCTGTATAGTTCTCACAACTGCTGAGATCTCCTTTGTTTAGTATTTTGATCAAGTATCCTTCTTTCCAATCTGATGGTAATTGTTCCTCATCCCAAATCTTCTTGAAGAGGATGTGGAATATTTTTGCAGTTGCTTCCACATCTGCTTTCATTGCCTCTACTGGAATGTCGTCTGGTCCTGCTGCTTTGCCGCTATTGATTTTTCTGATGGCCGTACTGATCTCCTCAATCGTAGGTGCGCCAATATTAATTGGGAGTTCCGTGGATGCTGCTTCGATGTTGGGTGGGTTCGGTGGAGCTGGTCGATTCAGAAGTTCCTTAAACTGCTCTACCCACCTATTGCGCTGTTCTTCAGTGTTGCTGATTACTTTGCCTTCCTTGCTTTTGACTGGTCGTTCTGGTTTACGGTAGTTTCCGGTGAGCTTATTTGTTGTATCGTACAATTGTCTCAAGTTTACTTCTCATGCAGCCTTTTCCGCCGTCGTTGCTAGATCTTTCACATATTTCCGCCTGTCGGCTCTGACACTCCTCTTCACTTGCTTGTTTGCTTCTGTGTATGCAGCTTGTGCCTCAACTTTCTCTGCTCTTGTTCGGCTGACATTGAATGTTGCCTTCTTATCCTTTCCTTCTTCAGTCTTATCCAGAGAGGCAATAGGTATCTATTCCTTGTGATGGTGCTTCTTATGGTGCAGAACTTAGTGTCATGTCGAAGTGATTACCTTCATGATCCCTTTCCAATTGCTCTCCAAGGTGGCTTCCTCTCCATTGAGTAGATCATGCAAGGCCTGGAACCTATTGGTGAAGGCTATCTTGAATTCGTTGAGCTTTCCGGCCGTATTAAACTTCTGTGATGTTGTCGGCCCCGTTGTCCGGTGTTTTTTGAGTTTCAGTTTCATTTTGACGGCCAGCAAGTGGTGATCTGAGGCTAAGTCAGCTCTTTTCTTGGTTTTAACATCCTCCATGGTCCTTCTGAAATTTATTTTGATGCAGATCTGGTCGATCTGGTTCTAAGTAGTGTGATCCGGTGATTTCTATGTAGCTTTGTGTATTCATTCATGTGAGAATACTGTGCCGCCGACGACCAGTTTGTTGAAGGCATATAGGTTTGCAAATCTCTCACAATTTTCGTTCCTTTCTCTCAGTCCATGTCGTCCCATGACATCGGCATTTAGGCCTCTCATCAGAATCGTCAAATCGTTTGATGAGCATCTCTCGACGATTGACTGTAACCTCTAGTAGAACTGATCTTTAATGTTTTAATTGTAGTCGTTGGAAGGTGCATAGCATTGGATGACCTTCATTGTAATATCTTCTTTCTTTGTTTTGAAGGATGCTTTGATGATCCTGGGTCCATGAGATTTCTGTCCTATCGGTGCCTTTTGTGCTTGTTTGGACAGCGTCAGTGCAACTCCTTGTGTATGT